ATGGAATCTACGACAAAATCGGTTCAACAGTTTCCTACATATAGGTCTTGAGAACTTCCCAAGGTCATATCTTCTCACGATTATTTCTGCCAAACGGTAAACACCTGGTCGACCATACTCATGTCAGAATGAGGTCACGTATAGGTCAAGCTCATATGGAATCTACGACAAAATCGGTCCAATAGTTTCCTACATACAGGTCTTGAGAAATTCCCAAGGTCGTATCTTCTCACGATGATTTCTGCCAAATGTTAAACACCTGGTCGACCATACTAATGTTAGAATAAGGTCACGTATAGGTCAAGGTCATATAGAATGTCCGACAGAATCGGTCCAATAGTTTCCTAGGTACAGGTCTTGAGAAATTCCCAAGGTCATATCTTCTCACGATTATTTCTGCCAAACCTTAAATACCTGGTCGACCATACTCATGTCAGAATGAGGTCACGTATAGGTCAAGCTCATATGGAATCTACGACAAAATCGGCCCAATAGTTACCTAGATACGGGTCTTGAAATATTCTCAAGGTCATATCTTCTCACGATTATTTCTGCCAAACCTTAAATACCTGGTCGACCATACTCATGTCAGAATGAGGTCACGTATAGGTCAAGCTCATATGGAATCTACGACAAAATCGGCCCAATAGTTACCTAGATACGGGTCTTGAAATATTCTCAAGGTCATATCTTCTCACGATTATTTCTGCCAAACCTTAAATACCTGGTCGACCATACTCATGTCAGAATGAGGTCACGTATAGGTCAAGCTCATATGGAATCTACGACAAAATCGGCCCAATAGTTACCTAGATACGGGTCTTGAAATATTCTCAAGGTCATATCTTCTCACGATTATTTCTGCCAAACGTTAAACACCTGGTCGACCATACTAATGTTAGAATAAGGTCACGTATAGGTCAAGGTCATATAGAATGTCCGACAGAATCGGTCCAATAGTTTCCTAGATACAGGTCTTGAGAAATTCCCAAGGTCATATCTTCTCACGGTTATTTCTGCCAAACCGTGAAAACCTGGTTGACCAAACTCATGTCTAAATGAGGTCACGTATAGGTGAAGGTCATGTCAAGACCACGACAAGGTCACGCAAACTGAGAATTAGAGGCCTCAAACTCTTCAAGGTCACTTGAAGTACAATTTCCTCACGCATATACATAGAGAACTGTGGGGATCTGATTGAAATTGCACACATCATATATAGGTCATAGATTGGTCAAGGGCATATGAAGGTCACAATATATATTCAGTGACTAATTTCTGATAAGATAGATTACCTTAAGTTGAGTTACGTTATGTTAGGTTGGGTTGGGTTAGGTTAGGTTCAGTTAAGTTAGGTTAGGTTGGGTTAGGTTAGGTTGGGTTAGGTTAGGTTGGGTTAGGTTTGGTTAAGTTAGGTTTGGTTAGGTTGGGTTAGGTTAGGTTACGTTACGTTAGGTTGGGTTAGATTGGTATAGGTTGGGTTAGGTAAGGTTGATACAGCGTGCTTTGGGTTGTATTAGCTAGACCATACTCATATCAAAATGAGGTCTTGTATAGGTCAAGGTCATATGGAAGTCGTGACGAAATCGGCCCAGTACTTTGCCAGATATAGTTTTTCAAAATTATCAAGGTCATATTTTTTCACGTTTATTTCTGCTAAACCAAAAATACCTGGTCGCCCAAACTCATGTGAAAATGAGGTCACATTTAGTTCAAGGTCATATGGAAGTCACGACAAAATCGGACCAATAGTTTCCCAAACACAGGTGTTTCAAATTCTCAGTTGTATATCTTTTAACGCGTATTTCTGCCAAACCGTAAATACCTGGTTGACCATACACATGTGAAAATGAGGTCTCGTATAGATCGAGGTCATATCGAAGTCACGACAGAATTGGCCCAATCGTTTGCCAAATACAGGTTTTTAAATTCTCAAGATCACATATTTTCATTTTTATTTCTTCGATACCGTAAATATCTGGTTGACCATACCCGTGTCAAAATGAGGTCATGTGTAGGTGAAGTTCATATTGAAGTCACGACAAAATCTACCTAATAGTTTGCCAGGTGCAGGTCTTTAAAACATAAAATACTGATTATCATAAAAATTATACGATGTAAAGCACACATTTTCGTTGGGACTGCTATTTATGTTTGTAACGTTTTTCGATTCGGTGAATATTTAATAAAATGCAAAGAAAAATAATTTCATGTGGTCTGTAGTTTAGCTAGTTTACCTACTATAAATTTTATTTGTAATATGCTACATCAAGACCACTGGGATATGAAAAATATTGACGAATTCTTTTCTAAAACAATAGGTAATTTAGATAATAGAAACATGGCTATATATGCCTTATATGTATTGTGGATAGCACTGCAACTGTGCAACTGGTCAAACTTAACAACAGAAACAAAAGCTGTTTTACACAGAAAGTCGCTTATAAATAAAGCAATTAACAATAAACAATGTTCTATATTACTATACTAGCGTGTTCGCGGGTTGTCAGAATGGTGTTCATTTTTCGTCGAACATTCTCAGTTCACATGCCTCTTAGGATCAAATATTTTTTTGAAATCTTAATTAACAAATGTACGTAATTGATTTTTTCTCCTAGAGTGACAGACACATTCTCGGCCCCCCAAAAAGAAGAACGTTTTTCCAGATTGTGTCTTGACAGATTTCAAGTCTTGCCTAATCCTGTGATTGATTCCCTTCCCTGAAATCATAAGCTAAGGATGTGGAGAGGGGGCAGTGGCAATGAACATGATTGGATTCGAAACCTCGAACCCCTTGGCCAGTGTGACTAGCCGGGAGAATAATGTAATCTGTTTTTCTTTATTTTTAGATTTAAAATGATGTTTGGTATGAACACTAGCATTATAGCCTGTACCTACGTTGTCTTTTTTTTTTACTTCCCGTCCCACATTCCAAGCTAGTTGACATACATCGGGCCATTACATACGAGTATTATGAATAGATAGGAATAACCTGCATCGGTGTGTGCACAGTATGTCCCGGAAAAAGGAAAACCAGGTCACAGTATCTTTATGCTACAGTCAATGATCGATATCCGCAAACGTGACATGATTTTGGTACAGGAATAAAAAATGATCTCTCTCTAAGGGGAAAAAACATAGATTAAGGGTGTCTGAGAACAAAGTGTTGAGGAAGTTATTTGAACACATTTCAGATAACGTGAATTGGGAGAAATTACGTACTAAGAAGTTTCATAATTTGTGTTCTTCCCTAATATTGTTATTGCCCTTGAATGAAGACGTATGAGATGGACTAAACCTGTAGCATATATTGATAAATGCGAAATACACACAAATCAAGAGCCATCGGCCTAGAGGCCTAGCCGTAGATGGGATGTAATCACTCACTGAGAAACAAGATGTGAAGGTGTGGAAAATCCAATGGCAGGCTGTTGTGAATACGGTAATGAACTATCGGTATTCTATAAAATCGGGGAATTTCTTGACTAACTTAGCACTATAACGTGCTCAAGAATGGTCTGCATCATGTAATTTACCGTCTGAGAGCACTAACGTGCTTCGATATTTTTGACAGTTGGAAATACTATGGAAAACCGTTTGGTTTTCGGTCCATCTGACATACCCTCAGAACTACGACCAAATCGTATCATCACAAAATATGGAAAACCGTCAAAATATTGGTCAACTTAAACGTACGATTGCGTAAGCCTACACGTAAGTGCATACAGTACAACAGTGATCGAACTAGCGTATGTCGTTCAGCCGTGCATATGTTTGAATATATTTAGACATTGTTGCTAATTAGTTCCTTACATAGCTTAACCAGCATATTTAATAAATTAGTTATTTCATAGCTGCAGCGAATTTGTTAGATTAGGTAGTCCAAATTAGTTAGTAAGTCGAATTCTGTTCCTGCAAGAGACTCCAAAGGAAATACGAAGATGACCGAAAAGATATCGACAGTAATTATCATTACTAAGCATCGAAATTTCTGATGACCAGCAGTTCTGAGGTTGTGTTCCTTTAGTTCATCGAAATGAATAGAATATCTTTTTGTTTCAGGAGCCAGCACACCATGAAGCCGTCTTCATGGTACGCTTCCACACTAGTTGTGGTGTTTTTCTACCTGTACGTGTTGGCTGTCCAGTACATCCGCGCCGAAGAACTGCAGAGTGAGAGGAGTTCGAGTCGCATCACTTTCGACGACAAAACTAGCGTCGATTCGATACACGTGAAGGAACTCGGAGATCCCTCTGGTTCTTTGAGATCCGTCGGCGTCGGGAGTGTTTCTGACGCCGGTCCAAGTTTATATCCCACCGAAAATCAAGGTAGTTCACTTCACTCTGTGGGTATAGGCAGTTCTTCAGATGTGTCCCCGAGCTTCTATCCTGGTAGTGTTGGTGGTGACAGAGAAGTTGGTATCGGAAGTTCTTCCACAGCAGGTGAAACGCCAGAAGTTACTTCATACAGTGACAAAAGTGAAGCTACTGGACTGTACAATCCCGATAGTGCTGGATCCCTTCGTGCGGTTGAGAATGCTGGCCTGGACCGTGCCGTAGGAAACAGTTACCGCCCTGGTTATTCTTACGATCCAAGTTACAACAATCATAATCAATTTTACAGTGGAGGCGATTCTCTGTCTGCTGCAGCAGCAAACATCAACTCCCATCATCAGGATGGGTCCTACTCTTTGGACTTCAAGTATCACAACTACGACAAGTTGACAAAGTTCCTGAGGACAACCTCATCCAAGTTCCCAAACCTCACAGCACTGTATTCTATCGGCAAATCTGTCCAAGGTAAGAACTTCGCCTGGTAAGTTTGTAAGTACCCCATCAGGTTCCCTGCCGGGATCAGTCCCACGATTCTTGCAAACTTCACAAAAACTCCAACCCACTCCACGGTACAGCTGGCAGTTAACCATCTTACCAACAAACGCCGAAAAAGCCGAATATTTTTCAACACGTTCATACTAATTCGCCATAGGACTCTACACTTATTAAGATAAAACCTATTCACAACTTGACAACATATTTCTCTAGTAATTAATATTTTCGATCAAAATGTTGTGTTCTTTTCCATTTCTTCAATATGTGCTACATGTCTCGTCCAATCCATCCTTCTTTATTTAATAATTATACAAATATTAGGTTAAGAGAGCAAGCCATAAAACTCTTCATCGTGCAGATGTTTGCTCTTCTGGCATATGATGACTTGAAGTCTTGTAAGCTGTTACCATATTTTCGGAAGAAATCATCGTCTCCATTTTCATGACCCAGAAGACCACAAGCCAAATGTTCACGATCGTGAAAGCCTCAAATCTCAGTCTCCATGATGTAAATTTCGCCTGTCAATTTTATGGCGTTCTGAATGGTATTTTGAAAAAAAATCGCCTGATAGATTAATAATGTCGGTCTCCGAACATTCGTCTGTCCACATATGACTCGAGAATCACCGAACGTATTTCCATTAAATTTTATTTTGGGCAGTTTTATTTGAATTTATTGAGATATTCCAACTGTGACTAGGACTTGACAGCAATAACAGACACTTTATACTAAGAGCTATATGCGCGTCTGCGCGCATCTCCTAACTCGCTAAATAATCATTCCTATAGTAGCGAAAAATATGACGAACAAACGATTATAGATTCAAATGAAGCACTTTTGTCTCAAGTATTAGGATTTTTGAGACAACTAAACAAAAGGAGTTTCTATGCTGTGTCATCTTGAGAATCATTGGATTGATTTTAATCAAATAATATAATGGGGGGTCCCCCTTAGTTCCTCCCCCCAAGGGAATGTTTTATGCTATTTATAGAACAACATCAAAGTCAGCATATATGATAGGAAAATCTAAAGGCAGAAGCAGAGAGAACGAGCTGGAATTGTTATGCTTGCTTATTTGATCTCTCTTAGGTTATGTCACTTAATTCGGCAGTGTGTTCTCAGACAGCCACAGAGTGACCGACTCGGTGTCATTCTCATGTAAACAAAGAGATATCACACTAGAATTGTCCTCAAGCGAACAATTGCTGCAAGTATAGTACGAGAGGTCGATTATTTTACTCGAGGGGCGGTCAGCCTCAAGATAAAAGAGACCGTAGCCTTGCCAAATTACACGATTTAAGACAACATAAAAATCGCACAACGTTGCAACACGAACAGCAGAGCACAGGCGAGTGAAGGCAACTCAGAACGTGCAGCGCAGCAGAAATGGTACTTACGAGACGCTGAAGAATGCAATTTGGTTATAGGTTTTAATTTCACAAATATTTAACTACACACCTGATGCAAATATAGGTCTATAGGCCTACATAAAACCTCGCTGGTTAAAAGTGCGTTTTTTATGACTCTGAGACAAAAATGTCAATCTTATGGTTCTCGAAGGAAAAATCGTGTCATATCTTCGTCCGCTCGAAGTTAAGTTCAATACACTATTTAGTAAAATTAGTACAAAGATTTATATGTGCCTATTAGCTCAGCAGAGTACATCTAGTGACAATACATTTGAAAAATAAATCAGAGGATATACTTTAGCAAGGGTTACACATCACTGCATTCAAACCGATTTTGAAAGTGAAACATGCGTTGTGAGAATGTTAAAATAAAAAGCCTAACAGAAACTGGCATACATCAAATTTGCTACTGGAAGCAACCTTAGTTAAGAGACGTTATAAATGTAGACTGGAAGCCATAAACATGGCCTATTTGATAATGTAGTTTATCTGTTATAATGGTGACAAGCAACTGAACTCAAGAAGGCAGGGTCCCTGAAATGACATGCACATTTTCTCCCAGTTGTATGGGAAGGTATAGCAATGGAAAGGCCATTTTAACTTGTGGAGGAAAAAGAAGGACGCACATATGTTATAAGAATTTGCATGCTTAATTTTACCTTCTTAATAAATATGACGTGTATATAAACACTTGCTTTCTTAGACAGAATATCTTTCTGAATATTAATGTGCTAATGCCGACGTGTAGACAGGTACACGATACACACGTGCAAAAGAAGCCTACAGTCAAATGGATTTTTTTAGCAGTTATTGTTAAACAAGTATTGAGAATAACAAATACGGGTCCTCCAAAATACGAGTGCAAAGTACTAAACCATTACATTCAGTTCGAATTACAGGTGCCCTATTCTCGTGCGTCCCACAGTTAAAATTCGTGTCCATCAAACGGTTCCTAATTCTACGGTATAGGCCTAGTCATTCTGAAAGTTTATTGTGGTTTATTTCTTTACAATCGTTTTTATCCGTTTGTATTCACTTCTTAGTATGAGAAGTTAAGGACCGAAATGCATTTTTGGCCACTTTATCTATTTATAAGGTACGCCCATGGCATGTATAAGGAAATATAAAAGAAACCTGTTAGACTGGACGACTTCCAATTCCCTGGCAAGTAAACAGTAGCTCTCGGTATTAGTAAACTTACAATCTAAATTTCCTTTAAATGCGTTGATTCAGAACGCAGTGTAATCACATCGTGATTGGGACTCATAACTCGTATTTTGGAGGTCCCGGGTTCGTCACCCTCATAATAATGTCAGCGCGCGCTTTTGAATCAAAAGTAGTGAGCACACACACATGTAACTTACAGAGATAAATGGTGATGTATCCATTATATCTTCCCAATGCAGTACTGAACACAGAACACAAGTAATGAGCATAGAAAGCCACTAATGACAAACACAACAAGAATAGTATATCCCAAATATATCTCAAAGAGATGTGCAGCACACGCGACACGACCAAAAATACACTACGCCATTTGTTCTCGAACTAGTTACAATTAACAGCGCCGCCTATGTTGTAGATTTTATCTGTGAGCGCCACTGCTCGGTGCGGTCCCGTGTGACAACTAAATAACACATTGCGTTGAGTTACGTACGGTCCGTGGAGGCTAATGAATATATATATATATATATATGCTTTACGGTTTGGTGCCGTTTAGTTTTATGACATTCTTGAGAAAATAGGTCAAAAGGCAAAAATAAGAAAATCTATCATAGGCTAAGTTCGCTATATTTATTGGCTGTTAGCTAAAATTCATGTTTATTCATCATAATTTATTTGGGTTTCTCATGTTGTAAGTGGGTTCCTTGTTACCACGGCGTAGACCATCCTCAGGTTGCGGATGAAGGAATAGGCTTCCACATAGCTGCTGAGTAAGCAGTGCAGACAGCCAATGGGGTTGGGCAGGGGCCTAATAACTACCCAATTTAAAAAACCCAGCATGTCATGAAATATTAAACATAATGAGGAGCTCCACAGTTTGTACTTTTCACCAAATATTATTAGAATTATCAAATAAAATGAGTTTGGTGGGGCATGTGAATTGTAAGAAATGCATGTACAATTTTGGTTGCAAGACCTGAATAGAAGAGACCACTCTGAAGACTTATGCATTTATGGGATAGTAACATTAAAAAGGATCTTAGGAAAATAAGAGTTTGGGGGATGTGGACTGAATTCATATAGCTCAGGACAGGGATTTGTAGTGGGCTCTAGTGAACATAATGTATCTTGGATTCCATAAAAAATAGAGAAATACTTGACTAGCTCAGTGTACTGTTAGCTTCTCAAGAAGGGCTCTGCTCCATGCATTTAGATTATTCAGGTTTTTCATGTGGAATTTATAATCTGACAGGTTTCAGAGTTAGAAAGTTGCAACCAAGATGTGCCCATAAAATATTTGCTTTATGAGAACACATAAAGAAACTACAATTTATGCCAACTGGGCTTGAGAGCAATAGGTCGCTCAAAAGTAACCTGGAGGCGAAAAATCCTAAAAGAAGCTTTACAAGCTGGTATGTCCTGGAACAAAGTCAAGGCTGATGACAATAGGAACTTTTGGAAGAAGTTACAAGTCCTTAATTCCTGTAAATTCTGCCATCCATTTGTAAAATTTAAGTCACAGAGAAAATGTTTTTTATATAAAATGCACAGAAACATTTAAAATATTTCAAGTAAATTTCATGTGACTATCATCATTACTTTAAAATATAAGGATTTTACCTAGTTCCCATGTTGTTATGTGATATATTTTTACCTGTATTTTCATCTCAGAATTTCTTATCATCTCAATGGTTAAACTGGTGGAAAGGAAGTAGAAGTACAGACATGGGATCACCTATAACAACACTTCATTCCAAGTTTCATAAAAATCAGCCAACTGATTTAAAATCTATTGCGGGCATATACACATATAGCCAATATTCTGTTATGGACCTACGATAGCATGTTAAAATTAACCCAACTTTTTGTTTATACAATCCAAAAATTCAAAACAGCTAATACCATACAAAGACATAGGGCACAATCATGTACCACTTGAAAAATGTACATTCTCATGACATATTTTAATGTTATTTTTCCATCACCTTCTAAGCCATCCACATGGCCGGAGAGATTTTCCAATAAATTTTGCGTGAATTTGCTTCTCCCATCCAAACTACGTGTTCAATCTATCCTGATTTTGGTTTGTTTATCTACTTCCTATTCAACGAGACAAGATAGTAGACACACACAAGAAAGTGCAAGACCATCAAGCAACCCCTTGTTATGTGAGTTCCACTGGCACTTTCACCCTTTGATCACTTTAACTTGCATGTGCTCAACTACAGGACTGCTCACATTCATCTGTTTACAGCAACTATCCTTCTCCATGAAGGGACTGCAGTTCAACTGCATAAATATAACGTTCCTTTATTGAGTCTAAATATTTTCTTCCACGCCTTCCTTGTTCTCAGAGGGTTGCAATTTATAGTCTTCTCTCAAAGTAAGAAACCACTTTTCATAACCATAGTAAAATAATAAAAGATTTACTTGTATTTAATGTCTTATAATATTGTTTTAGGTCGAGATCTATGGGTGATGGTAGTATCAGCATCCCCATATGAACACATGATTGGAAAGCCAGATGTTAAATATGTTGCCAACATGCATGGGAATGAAGCAGTTGGCAGGGAGTTGATGCTTCACCTCATTCATGTAAGTTCTACTAGTTAAAAGTATGTGGGATTAGCAGTTTATATTGATACTGCAATTTCTAAAGTGTAGACCTTGTGATCCTGAGACACAGGTGTGAATATATCATATTTCAACATGTTTTCAATCTCTTAAAAATTGTTACCAGAGCAATGAACTGAAATAACAGCAGAATATTCACTGATTACACAAGAATTTAGTATAAAAATGTGATACCAAATTTGAACAAATATAATCTGCACTTCACGATATTTCAGACTGCCAACTTAAAAACACACCTCACAAGTGTAACATCAACATCTTCCTAAGACACTTCGACTATAGGCAAGTCATCTAACAGGTCTGACAGCCAAACCTCTCCATCTTCCCACAATGCTTCTTCTTGATTTCTTTCCATGGTCTTCCCTCTGTGTGATATCTTTCCTAATCTGTTGCTCCCATCTTGATTTCAGACTCCCACTTGTGTTTTCTCCTTTCACTTTCACATCTGACCTCTTATCAGTGTTGTAGGAGGGGACAACATTCAAGCAGGAAAATGCATGTCAGAACAATACTCAGTAGGGAACTACACCCTGTTACCTCCTAGGTAACTGAGAAGCTCTTGTAAGAACCCAGAAAACAAATAGCTAAATGGAACTACACTGAATCTGTTAGATTCAGGAAACCAATAGTGTATTTTTAATCTGCTTTCAATAACTATATAATATATGTAAGTTAATGCATAAAACTCCGGTTGTCAGTCATAGTGATTATCCTATCCTGCTAGAATAGGTGGTGACCATTTCTTCTTCATACTTAAGACTTAATGTGAAATGGCATTTGCTGTCATGAAGAAATAATACCAATGTTAGAAATAAACTAGTACAGACTCCTCCAGTACCAAGTTTAATTCAGTAGTTTCAGAACTAAATAAGCAGACAAGAAACAAACAGAATCACACTGCCATTATGTACTTATTCACACAAATTGTACAATGAACAAATAATAATTCAGATGGGCATATTCTTACTACACTAATACACCAAACCTATACATTCCCTCTTATAGAAAATGTCTGCTAATTTAAATTAGATGGCTAAAGCTTCATATGCAATAGCAGACATCACAGGAGTAGTTTAATGTGTGGGCAGGAACTGTTATTTTTACATTAAGCTTCCTTAGTAAATAATAACATATATGGTAATTAATTTCAGTACCTAGTGACAAGCTACAACAGTGACAACTACATCAAGTGGCTACTGGACAATACTAGAATCCACATCCTCCCCTCAATGAATCCAGATGGTTTTGAAGTTGCCAGAGAAGGACAGTGTGATGGTGGTCAGGGCAGGTATGAAAAATTAAAACAGATTATCAAACTGAAGTTTCTTACATATTTCACTTTCTTTTTTATCATATTCAGCTAAGGGTTTCAAAAATTCTCACCTCTTCCATTTCTTTTGTTTCTATCACCTCATATCCATGTCTCACTACCATTTATTTAAATATACAACATATTAATCTGTGGGAACTACAAAACTTTAAGAACATTAAAATCCAAAATCATAATTTACATTTCAGTTAAAAAAGTATATTTTCCTTTCATAGTGATAAGCCTGGTTTACAAACTTCTTTGATATTAAACTTGTATTTTAATTGCAGGTACAATGCTCGTGGGTTTGATTTGAATAGGAACTTTCCAGATTACTTCAAACAAAATAACAAACGTGGTCAGCCAGAGACAGATGCAGTTAAAGAATGGATTTCTAAGATCCAGTTTGTCCTCTCTGGTGGGCTGCATGGTGGTGCTTTGGTTGCCAGCTACCCTTTTGATAACACACCTAACTCCAGTAAGTGTCATAGTATAAGATATAGGTATTTAAGTATACAAAACTTACTACATTAGAAACAAACGTAAAAATATCACCAGAAGGCACAGACTTATGTTCTTGTAAACTTTTCTGCTCTCCTCATCAGTACAGATGAGAGAGGTTATAAATTTAAGAAGAGTTGCCAGCTCACACACATTATTTTACACTTTATGCATGGCAACACTTTGCTTTATTATGTACTGCATCATGACACATATTATCATTATAAACTATTAACAGATTTACAGTATTATGGTAATACACAATACTGTATTTTGTGCATCCAGTTCAACATTGTAATTGCAAACCATGTTCTTCCTTTCCAAAAGAATTTCCACTCAAAATACACATTTATTCCAGGGTTTTGCTCCTATTTTCTGAACAGTGTATGTAGTTTACCTCAGGAACATAGCTAAGAATGCAACTGGTTATTGACTGCCTGGAGGGATTTACTTATAAGAATTCTTTCCTGCACCACCATTATCTAGAATGATTCTAGAGAAGAAATGGGCAATTATTCTTTGCTTCAAAGAAAGCCTACAATTTGAACCTAAACAATAATCAATTATTTGCCCTGACTGAACATTCTGTATACCCAAAATACATAAAATAATTAATTTTGACACAATATCCTAATTCTGATTCCTGTTCTCAAATTTTTGAGACAAGCATTAAATCAGATACAGAGGGAGCCCCACCTTACTTTCTCATATCCAGTTGTAGGTACAGTAAATTAAAATAGAACATGTGTGTTGTTTAATAGAGCCATGCTATTAATACCTGAACATCACAGCAGTCTGGACTGAACTTTTTCACAGATTGTATTTTACTTACCCCTGCACTAGGGCTCACTGGGTGTATCCAACACACAGCAGATACAGCATTAAGTAATCACTCATTAAATTAATACCAAGATTAACAATTGGCTTGAGTTCTGTGACATGATGCTTAGCTATAAAACCTCTTTTACATATAAAATAGGCAATGTTTCTAATAAATCATCATAAACATAAAAGTAAATTTTTGCTAGGCAATATCTATGTTTTATTTCTGTGCTACACCGGATAAGACGTGTATATATAGACATGTCAACAGAAGACATACTGTTCTACAATATACCTAATAATGGACTAACCTATTACCTGTGAAATGTTACATGATAAAATGAAGTTGAATAAAAATTGTGTTTAAACCTTCAAAAACCCACTTTCATCCTCCCAAATTCTACTTCAGAATATATAAGAGAACTTGTTCCAAGATTTGAAACAACACACATTTTTACAGGGAAGGGGGTTATGGATCCATAACTTTTCTAAAACATTTCAATCAGCATAAAAGAATAGAAGGATTTGGTAATAAAGGAACCAATGTATATGCAAACAGCATAGGTTATACTAAGTAATTTAACACAAAAAGATTTATTTTGAAAATTTTCAATTTTAAAGAATCCCACATCAGATAATGGACTTATTTTTTTTTTCAATTTTCTCCCTGCTGCCACATAGGAATGTGTAAATCATTTCCACTTTGTGCAGGTGAGATAAAAACATTATGTTTTGTTATTAATAATTTGTTTTATTAATGTCTCAACACTATTTTAAGTTTCACATGGCTATAGCATCTCTAGTAAACATCGCTACTAAGTCAGATGGAAAAACTGATCTAGAATTTCACTAATCTAGAATATAAGGCACTATCTCCAAATTAAATTCATCTTAACAGTTAAGTCCCTGAAATATGTACAACATATTTACAATAACTTCTACTGCGCCATTTAAACGTGTAAAACTTTAATTTGTAGTCAATCTCTGGCATGAGTCATTCTACTGAAACAAATAATTTTACCAAAGAATATTTTATGTAACCAACATGTTTATGCAAATTTTGGAACTGTTGGAATTTCTAGAAAATACAGTATTTCTAAATTGAAGTACATGAAGAAGATATGTTTCCTGAATGAAAAACTTACTGAAGTGCAAGTCAAACAAAGCACCCAATTCAATATCTCAAAATCAAAATCATGAATGTGTGTCATTCTACTCTTTTAAAATGTATCAACTCTCCAAAATGAGAAAGTAATATTCCAGAATTTGACTCCTCACTTTTAATTGGTGTGGCATCAGAAGCTGGCCATAAAATGGGAAGTGTTTAAAAATAACAGCAACTTCTATCTTGAATTAGAATTAATTGGATCTGCTGCCTTCTTTAGGTAATGCACTTTGCAGTAGGAAAATAGCCTTTCTAACAACACTCCTTCTTAATAATTTATTTTCCAGAACACCACCAAAAACACATCCTATATCCACCCAAATAGTGATAAAAGAGCAATAAATATTAGGTCACATTATGTACCTGTAACACATATGAATATTTCATAACTGTAGGCAATTACCTACATAAATAAATGTGGTCAATAAATTATTCTTTGTCCTTTGTGTTTGTGGGCCCAGTATTCCACAGTTACTCGTCAACGCCTTCACTGACTCCAGATGATGATATATTTAAACACCTGGCACTAACTTACTCCAATAATCATCCTATTATGAGTCACGGGAAAGCATGCAAAACTGGCACGCCGTCCTTCAATCAAGGCATTACAAATGGAGCAGCATGGTATCCCCTCACCGGTAAGCATTCCATATGCACACACCACATATGAAATTTAAATTTCCACTGCAGACCAAACAGAGGGAAATGCTTTATATGCCCACTGGAGCCTCTGCTCTGTGGCACTCTCTTGCATCTTTCAGACTGAGTTTTTCAGTCTATTTAATAAAACTGTTTCAGTTACATTTCACTTGTTTTCTGTGCAAAGTGTATAAACTGAATACATAATCAAAAGACCCATGTCTGTTCATCAATCCATCACCATGTATTATGTCCAAAATTACTGTGCATATTTCTGTGAAATCTGGTATTAGGGTTTCAACCTAAAAGTTTTATGCAAGTTTAATTTTGGTTCATATCAATGGAAGATAATCCTTAATAGCTGGAATCAAATTATATTATTTTTCTAAGGAAAAACAATTCATAACTCATTCAGTGTATCTGCAATAAATATCAAGGTCAATGACATTACAAAATCAAAAAATATGCATATTCCAAAGTGCAGTACACCTTTCTACACTTGTTGATAATCATCAATACTTTTAATCCAATTAGGTGGAATGCAAGACTTTAACTATGTATGGTATGGCTGCATGGAAGTAACCCTTGAGCTTTCATGCTGCAAGTATCCTCCTGCATCAGAGCTTCCCAAGTTCTGGGAAGAAAACAGAATGGTAAGTTCCCATACAAATATCTTCACAGACATGCTGAAAGACTGAATAACAAAAAATAATAATCAACACATACTTTACATTTTAAAAAATGTCAGTTTGCAGTGCTATTGGATTTGAAAAAGTAAATAATCACAAACATGCAACAAAAGAAAAATTCAAGAATTCAAAACTCCATTACATCCTGAAGATCAACATTAACAGCATGCATATAGATACATTCGCACACACAAATACATATTAAATCATTCTTACTCATTTGCTAGTCGTCAATGGTTCTTTCTCAGGTTTGTCAAGTGTCTGTAATTAATGAGGCTTATGTATTTGCAACATTGTAATTACAAACATGTCCATACAGCATTCTCCATAGTCATATTTGTACATTTCAGTCACTTGTTAAATTCCTGGCAGAAGCACACAGAGGTGTCCACGGATTTGTAATGGACGAAAACGGCAATCCAGTTGAGAAAGCATCACTCAAGGTCAAATCACGTGATGTTGGGTTCCAAACAACCAAGTATGGAGAATTCTGGAGGATTCTCTTGCCTGGAATCTACAAATTAGAGGTACACTGTCAATTATTTTTGCACAACTGTAATCTTATGATTTTTGTATATGTCCTTCCAAAACAGATCATGTCAATTTATTCAATGCACCTTTTCTTACACATAAACACTATATTTTACAACACTTATAATCAGTATATTCACTTTCTAGGTTTATGCTGATGGTTATCTGCCACGTGAACTGGACTTCATGGTAGTAGAGCAGCACCCCACCCTCCTCAATGTGACTCTTCATCCTGCTAAGGTAGGTCAAGGCCACAAGGTGAGGAATCAGAATGGGCACCGGCGGCGCCCGAGGCCTCCAAAACCTTTCTCAGCTCAACCTCTTTGGAGACAGAGCATAATTACTCCTGGTGATGGTGGTGGCAGTGACGGTAATGGGATTAGCAACAGTACTAGCAGTAATAGTAGTGGTGATAATGTTGTAGGTGATGGGGTAAGTTTAGTCAGTAGTGGTGGTGACAGAGGGGAGATAGGACACAGTGATGATGGTGGAGGGGAACCAGCAGTAACTGAAATTGATGTGATGGGGCAAGACACTCCCAGGATACAGCAATGGCTGCCTGTAGAACCATACACATACTATAGTCCTGGGCATCATGAAATAACAGACATTCCTTACCATAATTCAAATGATGATGCCTTGTACATGAGGGTTGCCCATGACACACTGGGAGACTGGCATAAATCTATGAGAAGTGGATCAATGGAAGCAAAGTCACTTATTCAGATTCTGTATTTTGCTGCTCCTCTATTTTCAGTTCAGGTTTTGTTATAAGGAAGTCATATTTTTATTCAGCTGATTGGATGTATGGCTTAATGCTTTTGTAGTACTCAGGGTTACAACTGAACACCAAATATTAATGTATAATGCTGTTAAGTGCACCATACACATATTCACAAACAGCAGTAACAGAAGAAATATGTTTCCCTTGCTTTATAACTGTATTCATGATAACATGTGAGGCCCTCATTTATATGTGGTTTATTTAATGATGTGCCATTTACCTGAAACTACACAATATACGAAGCATATTCATTCTTATTCAACCAGCCAGCTAAACTGAATATTATTTGTGACCACCAAATCCATCTGAAAAACTAAACTCAAACCAACTTGGACTAAATTATGGTTGTGGCATTTCCTCCACAGCATAATATGTATGTTCCTATACTCTTTTGATGCAAAATTCATGCTACTACTGTGACAAAAGCTGAAAAGATACAGACAGCAACCTGGTTGCAGAGGGTAGTTGAATCATGTGATGTGAAGGTAAATTATTTGTATGCAAAAGGGAATATCCATAGATTCATGACCATGGCATTGTATTATGTAATAAAGTCAGTACCATGTAAATTGGGGGAGAGAGGTCAACTATACTGCTTCTTTTTGTCTTTTAGTCAGGAATTCTCATATCTATCTGGTATAAATGTATTTCACTTATGGCATTTCAATCTACATTCCTTATTTCTTGGAACATATCTCATGCATATAAAGCAAGGGAAACTTATATGAGAGAAAATTCCATGTGATTTTGCTACTGTGCATTTCATCACAAAACAAAAGCCAAGTGTTTAGCATCATACAGTTTACATAGCCAGCCAAGTACATAAATAAAGTCTACATACTATAGCAGACACAACCATCCCATAGCAAAATCAACAGCAAAAATATGAATAAATGAGCTATTTTTGTTCATAAGAACATTAACTAAGTCTGTGATTTACATAATAATTCATCACTTACATGTCCTCAAGCCAAAACATCTCAGTGGCATAGATCAGAAGGTGTGCTTGAAAATAACTCATATTTAAGATGGCTGTCTTGTTGGACGTTGCACCATGCAGCCAGGTAGATATTGGCCAATCTTTCAGAGAAGCTTACCGTCATCATCACTATCATGGTGACAACTCATCACCCTGATAATTGAGGCAGTAAGCTCCTCTGAAATGTAAGTCAATATCTAACAAACTACATCTCAGAAGACAGCCATCTTCATACTCATCACTGTGAAAACCTGAAATCTCACTAATAAGCCACCTTGATTACATTCAAAGCATTGCAAACAATAAGTGAACATATTGACAACACCCCTTATTTACTCAGGGCAGCTATATCTCATTACAACAGTCAACTCCCATGTTGTATACATTAATTCTATCACAAAGAGGTATCCATAAAAAAGTCAGTTTTACGGCAATTTACTTGAATAATATAAATAGTGTCATCTCCTTAAACAATGTGTCTGTTACAATAACTACTTAAGACAGTGATCAATATGGTGAAATCTACACTACCACGAGAATTTCAAATTTTACATAATGATCAGCGTAACTGCAGTGCAAAGAATCAGCACACTGTCCCAACAAACCTTTAGAAAATCATTGTATTATTTCTTATCTATGCTGCAAAGCACAGATATATGAATCTTTGAAACATGCAACCGCATGTATGCACAGGCCTGATCTATGTTAGCAGTTTTTGGTGTTCATTTCTGCCATAAAAATCCAACACATGTTGCAAAGGTTACAATGAAAGAAACTGAATAAGTAAATTCTAATACTCTTTGTCACCAACATTTTTCATTGTTCATAAAGCACCATTATTTAACAATTACCAATATGTGTACACTTGCATCTGAAATGCCATTAAACCAGAACTATGGGCAAAATGTTTGTATACAGGTCACACGTGGAACATAAAAATTTGAGAAAACAAATTCATGAAACTGGTCAAAAATATAGGCTAATACAATTTCTTGTACAAGTGTCCTGAGGTATAAATTTTGACATGCACAAAATAAATACATGTGACATCCCCTTTACATGAAACATGTTTCATTACAGTAGTCTTCTGCATATATCAAGCCAAAATGGTAACAATTAATTGTACTATGGAGGAAATTTCTGCCTCCAATTTCAAGGTCAAAGTGACAGAACAGTAGTCTTAAAGGGTTTATATAAGAATGTAACAGCCAGTTACAAATTGTGATTGCATGTTGTTGTTATAATTCATGCTCCTGCCACTAGAATGTTGTTATTCTCAGGCACCCTTCATAATAATTTTAACTTTGAAGTATGAGGCACCGATTACTCCAAACATGTCATTTTCACCATTTCAGTGCAATGCTATGCCCAGAATATTGTAATGATATGCACCACAATAACAACCTAGTATCATACATTTCATTTCATCACTCTCTGCACTAGTTTTAAAGCACACATTTTGATAGGCTGTTTTTATTCATTGCCATTCATTCAGCAATAAGATAGCCACAACACTAAGAAAACTCAGCACTGATACTTTTAAACACATTACCAATTGCATAAATATGAAGATTTTTTGTATAGATGTAAATATTTCCTAAGCTTAATGCTGAATGTGTGGATATTAATGTTATACACACAAGGAATCTCACTGCACATCACAATTCTAAATATTGTGCCTAATACATAAAAACCTTAGCACAGGACTAGTCAAATTGCAGAAAATAAAATGAGTGAATTTTAAACTTTATAATGCAGTCACAGTTCGTTTCATTCAAATGTTCAACAAATGTATGGTTAATACAGTTAACATGAGTGATCCACTCCTGAAAGTCTCCACCATATACAAGACCATGACACAAGGCCATATTGGGATTATGGAAGTAATGCATAGTTCTAAATGAAGGTGAGTGATCACTGTCATGCTCAGACTACTTGCCTCTATAGGCTAATTTGATCACAGAGGTGTTCTGAATATGGTGGTAAGTTACAAAGAAAAATTCCTTGTTATTATTGAAATATAAGTCCTAATTATACACCATGAATAAACTATCATGGCTCTTAAATTAATCTGAAACTGGAAAAGCATAGGATACCCCAAAAATGAAATGAGCTTGACTGACTATGAACTGGATGATCAGGGTTCAATCCCTGACAGGGGAAGAGGATTTTTCCTCTAGCCTCTGCGTCCAGACTGGCTCTGGGGCCCACCCAGCCTCCTATCTAATGAATACCAGGGTCTTTTCCTGGGGGAAAACATGGCCAGGGTGTCACTGACCACTCAGCTCTATCTAGTGCTAAGGTTAAGAATGAGTAGGAGCTATACCTCCTCTCTCCCCAAGTGCCTACATGGCATATAATGGGACAGCTTTACTTTTTTCCTGCTCTTATCTAGCTATTATTTTTTAATAAGATAAAGTTTGCTGCAAAATGTCAATACTGCATATTCAGAATATGACATACATTAGTCCATCAGTAAGATTAAAGTAGTAATGTGTTAGAATCCAAAAATGGCTACTGAACACACAGATCCATTGCTCCATACATTTCTTCCCTATAGAAACAGTGTCCAAACGTTGTAGGCAATATATGATAAACGAATTGTATGTTTTTCTTTTAGCAATAAGTATGTTAGCTCTGTAACAGTGCATCACTTGGACCTGGGAGATGCACTGTTCAAAATTCAGTTATGGAACAGACTATTCTGAGTGAGATTATTTATGGTTTCTGTCAGTCCCTCTGAGGATAGTACCTTGAAGTATGCCATATCTTACTTTCCAGTTATTTCCAAATAATAACTGTCAAATCTCATTCAATGGTATGCATCCCTTACAGTTGATATAGTCTTTAAAATGTGACAGTATCGGGGGACAGATTATCATGTGTGTGTATGTACATGTACTTGTTTACACAATCAATGTTAAAGGTGAGATTCAGACCATAACGAGAAAGCCGCAATAACCACCCGATCACTACATTCTATGTCAATCTGGAAAAGTTGTAATTACCACAAAAACTTGTGAAGTTAGGTAAAATTATTGACTCTAAGTCACCCAAGTTTTGGATCAGAAGTGAAGCTCTAACAGAGTACTAGTATTGCAATAATGTAACAGAAGTTGAGGCCACATCTCACCTCAGTAGTAGTAAGTTATGGAGTACTGGTGGAATGATGACTGGCAATGAATAAGAGAGGAAAACCATGGTACTCAGTATCCCATGTGGACTGTTTGGAATTAACCTGGACCTCTGCAGCAAAAAGTCAGCACCTATTCATCTGAGTTATTGGCATCAAAGTACCATAAAAATGGTCAAGCATCTCTGTAATATGAAAACAATGAAAGAGTAGAAACTAAAGTTGTGTTTTATGATCTGATTTAAAGAAGTATTCATGCATTAAAAACTCAAAACCATACACATTCAAAGCTTAGAATCAAGTATGATTAATTATCTTCTAATTTTCTAAAAATATACATTAATTTCTTGTAAGTACACATGAACAAACAGCACTAATTCAGTCTTAATGCTGCAAACTTATACATCAGAATTTGCTTCCTGTTTGCAGTAATAAAGTATACATAAAGTGTTCAACTGCAAAGGTCCGGGAAGTTCCCTGTAGGCTATTTGAGAATTTTTGCTGAATGGCACTTTTCATGTATCCATGTTCAGAAGTTAAGACAAGTACAGCCAAAATATCCACAGTACAAATGTTACACTGATGGATACATATTTCTGAAGCATACATTGCTGCACATGGAGTCAGTAAGGGTTTATATACTGTTATTTTTACACATATATTAAAATATCTTCATGAACCATGTTTTCAAGCTGTCAGTGATCATCCAGAGTATAATCTTAAAACACTACATGTACATTAATCCATACAAATTTTTGTATAATAGAAAAAATTGTATTTCAAATGCAGAAAATGGAGTCAAATAGGCAATAATAGTCATGCACAAATAAAACTACTGTAACCTCTATTTGTACTTGTTTTCATCTGATTCCATCCAAATTTTTGTACTGTGCATACTTTTTTCAGTGTCCACTGTCTGGATCAAAAACAGTTTCAGGGGCTGGCTTTGTCTGTCTACTAATAATATAAAGGGGTACCTACTCTGTTAGGTTCTTTAACCTTTATCAACCATGTATGATGGCTCACACACAATCCAGCTTGCTGTGTCACAACAGCATAACCACTAAACCCTTAATCAAATAGTTAAAGTTCAGCTGACAGCCCAAATTTAAATCCCCCATTCTCAAGTGACACAGGTTAAATAAAAGCTTATCTTATCACTAGGATAGCCTCAGCTCAAAGGACCACAGAGTAGGAACCCTTTCCTTTTATATGACAGGAACACAACCAGATTCTAAAACACAAATCTTTATGATGCAGATAATGGACAATAATAACAAGAAAATATTCCTACACGATACTGAACCACTGCAATGAACCTTTAGAACAATAATTAATACTTGGAGAAAATTTAGAAATATGTCCAGCTGCTCCTGTAGTCACAATTTCAAACCTTTAAAGCCCAGTGGTACCACCTGCTTTAGCAATCAGTAACCCTGCATTTTCCCCAAAGAGTATATTTATGCGTTTTGCATAATTCCCAAAATAGTGTTTATTTCCATAAACAGCATAAATCAAATGATCTGTGTACTGGAAACGTCATGTTTTTATCTGCAACAGAAATTAAATTGTGGAAGTAAGATTTTGAAACCATTTAAATTAGAATTATTCTAATACTCTATTATTTTTCTGAAACAATTACTATTATAAAATCCATCCACTGGGCATTAACAATCACATACCATACCTATAGCATAAACTTATTTACAGATCAGTAGAGGATTCTTGTCCTTTAAACTGAGAACTGCAAAACTGGAAAACACAATACTGTACTGTAAGATCTTGAGCTTTCATGGTGACTGTACAATAAAATCCTCTCGGGCTATCAGCCGCGTCAAGTGGTTAAAACATGAAGAAACCGACATTTCGAAGTCCATCTCTGACCTCGAAACGTCATGTTTTAACCACTTGACGCGGCTGATAGTCCAAGTGGATTTTATTGTACAATACTGTACTCATCATAAATATTTTAATCAAGTCACATAACTGAATATAGTAAAAGTCTTAAGTTGCACAGGCCATATATAGGGCTGATTGTGGTCTGTAAATAAAACTTTGCAAAGTTCTCATTTATTTGAATTTCACTGCCATAATTTTGTCTTCTCTTCTGTTGTAGAAACCATCGGTATGTATATGTAAATATATGTATATATGTACATGTGTATGTATGTTGGTCTGTCATTTCAGCTAGATGACACAACAGCAATCCCTACAGACAAAACCTTACCAGTTGATGGGTCAGTTGTCTTCCCCATATCTTAGATACAAACAGTAGTATCAGTATAAGTCACTACAGTGTGTAAGTAAGAGCACCACAATCTTCGATGCTTCTATACTGTCTATCCTTTACAGATTACTCTCACTTGAACAAAATCTTTACTTTCTCGTGCATTGCATTTATAATGTCATCTGTACAATCAAGGGATGTACGCTAGCTAAACACATTTGTTACTAACTCTTCAGTGCAGAGAAGCATGCTCTCTACACTCTTGGAAATTTTTAATTTGCAGTGGACAAATAAAAATCACATAATTGCAGTATCTGCTTTATGGTACTGTGACATATCAGAGTTTTGTAAGTTCTGTGTATGAAGTGCATAATAGGAAAGCATACTAACAGAAAAGTTGTGTCCACAAGTCTGCCTGTCTACATTTCTTTTAAAAAGTACTGACAGAGTTATAATGAAATCTAGTATTGGAAATCCACAATAAAACTTGTCAACTCAATTTATTTTGTATCTGTATTGTATTGTATGTAAGCTCAAACTGAATTTTAAAAATGTTCCCAAAAATGGCTTATAATACAAAAAACTGGTACAAGATAAAAAATGTCTCATTAAGGTTTACAACATTTAGTTACTTTGATATGATGCATAGCTAACAAAATATAAAAAATAATAATTTCAAAATGCACTGAAGGGTTAACTTGATATAGAACACAAAATTCAAGTAAACATAGAAGAAAAGATCATATTTTAAAAAACATTAATGTAAAACAGTATTGTCAGTATAATGCTTCTGTATTCAGATGTTGACAGCAAACACAGAAGACATATGAACATACAAGAAGAGGTCATTCTTTTTCCAGAAAACTGTAATGTAAAAAAGTATTCATTTGTAAATATTACAGTAGCTAGTAGCTATAGTTATGTAATGCATGACAGTATGATAACTGTGAAGTGTTCTTTTGCATGATCTCTTAAATTAAAAAAATCAAAAAGTTGCTGACACCTCTCAACAGACTGGATGTGCAATTTTATTTTATTTTTTCCTTACATGACTTTAAATTTGTCACTTCTTTTCATACACTAAGCTTGGACAGTATCCATATATTATTGAAACAGCAGCATACTGCACAATTATACTGGAAATAACAAGTATTTCAATGAATTTTACAAAATTTGTCTTAAACATTTTTAGACACACCAAATATAGAAACAAATATACATTTAAAATCAAATCTCGGGCTTCAAGGAGAATAGTGACGATAACTGACTTGTGTAATACAAATGAAGTATAATTTTGTGCTTGGATTTTATTAAACAGTCCCAAATTATGTTTAATCCCAATTTGTAAACATAAAATACACTGAGTTCAGTCAAGTGCCAAGTCACAGATGGAGCTACAACTGAAGACTGAGGTTGTGATAATGTTCAAGGTGGTACTACAAAATTGGTAAAATGAAGACTGGTTATGAAAAACCAAAATATTTGGAGAAAATCCTACCCTAGGTCACTGTCAAACAAATGCCAACATGACCTGCCATGAAAATAAAGCCTGGCCTCTGTGATATGAGTCACATAAAGTGGTTGTCCATACTGTCTGTTATGAATGAAGTTAAATTTTAGTAAGCAATGGAAAAATTAAATTTCCTATAATTGCAATACCTTACACCTGAACAGACAGCAAATACTTTAAACTTAACCAAACACGACGCACATTAAGTTCATAATCCCTAAAATTATAAACAAAATTAAAATCCAATCTAACTGAAACACAGTTAAGTCAGATGATGATATATGTGTACTTCGTTTTCAGCGTCAGGATGGTTACTACCGTCCACAGCAGCAACATGGCTATTATCACCGTCCCCAGGGAGTACCTGTCAACAAACCAAATGAAAATGGTGGCATTCTGTCCTCCATCAGCAATGGATTTAATAATCTTGTCACCAACATCTTTGGTTGAGACATGCAAAGAACCTTACATAAATAAACAGTATTGCATTTATGTCTTGTGACAAAAAAGTATATCACAAGATAAATGTGGAAGTTACAGTAAAACTTCCAGAGAAAAACATTTCAATACAAAAGGTGAAAGCAAGTGTGTCAGGCTAGTGCATGTAGCATCCACATTCTCTTACTCTCAAAGTGACAAATGTGATGACAACAGCAAATACCATATTTACTTGTGTGTAAGTTTTATTAAAAATTAATCATTCTTAAAATTAGGGTGAGTGTAACACATGAAACATACACACAGCTAGGGTGTATTTGTTACTGTAACACACGAAAACCAACAAGTCCAATGTATGCAGACAACTTGAGCAGATCAATCATTTCTAAATACAAATTGTGCAGCTTCCAACAATAAACTATCATCCGACTGATTTAAAATATGAGTGCATCTGGATCAGTTTTGTTACAAAATACCACCTGCAACAATGAATGCTAACTCTACCTGCCTAATCTACAGACATCTCATATTACACAATATATTTTTTTCTTTTTCAATACCTACATTTTATTTATTTTTAAGCATGTTATACACAAATACTTTCTTTAATTTTCCAATCCAAGAATAGTTTTTTTTTACATAAGTAAATATGGTATATGCCAAGTAAATGGGTGAAATAAAGGGGCTTTTATGCAATTAAAAAGCATCCAGTTTGTTCTATATAAGTTAATTATATTTCTGAAGGAATTAATTAAGAATACTGGTATTTAGTTCAGTCACCATTTTTCCTTATGATGAAAGAGATTAAAGTGCCTCCTTGAAATTTAAATAAATCAAGTGTACTTTCAAAAGGCAATGTATTTTTAATATGCTATTGTATTATTTATAAATAAACATCAAATTATGTTTTGCAAAAACAATTCACTATATATTATTAATGTTCTTATTCTTATTCCTTGGCTCCACAACCCAGTGTGGGTCTTCGCTGTCTCCTTTCGGAAGTTTCTTAGTCTAAATTATTAATGTTTTCCTAATTCAAATGTCAGATTCAAGACTACTTTGATCAAATGCACCTTAAATCAACGTTTGTAATGTATGTCACATATGAATCAGCAGATATTAAGTGGTGCTAACCTGAAAACTGATAATATAGCAAAGACTATACGTAAGTCAAAGTGAAAAGGTTGCGAAGAATTACTGAAGGCAACTAGATACAGATAGCTGGAATGGAAATTATATCAAAAAGTAAGACCATGAGGAAAATTCAGGCATTCAGTCACCTAATCTAGAAAGACAAGGAGAAGAAAGTAGTTGCCCCTTTTCCAGTTTTCCAACACATACACATGCCAACACAAAAACATACATGTATATGTGTGCATAACCACTGCAACCGTCCTTCCGCTGACTGTTTTTCTTTTCTTACTCTGGTTGCCCCGGGATCAAACCCAGTAGCGTGCCCGGTTTGCTTGCGGTTACAGCTTGATATAAAGCGGAAGGATATAAGGAATAATAATTGGTGTAAGGTTTGTCGGTGAGCAAGATTGTCCGACTCTCAGGGATTATACGGGGACTGTGATAGTTGGAGCGGCCGTGCGCCAAGGACGTGAAATCTGTGGGGATGATCAACTGCAGACCACACCGAAGTCACCTTGGAAATATTCCACCTTTTAATTCCTTTCAATAAGTTATGCTGATTTTTGGGCAGCGCGATGATTCGGCTGTTGTATTTTGTACTTGTAATTTGATGAATCGAGGAGAAACTGTCTGCTTGCCTTGAAGAACCGAACTTTCAGAGAGCGAGCCCCAACGCAACCTCGCTTTTTATATTCCCGCAACGTAACTGTTTTTGAATTTTGAATTGAATATGACAATCCGATTCGTCCCCCAAAAAGTCACTTATGACGTCGGAAACGTGCCGAACAGCCACATTCAAATTTCATTGGTCCGAGTCGTAGTGGAGCAGCGGTCATCTGGCAATCGTCACTTCACACCTACTAGGGCGCCCCAAACCAACGGTCACTAAACCGAATGTTGGGGGAAGAGACTTTCACACGCCAGGATGGCGCCACTCTCTTTCCCAATGTGATACATTGGACAAAGCCAAAACTTAATAAAATCACTCAAATTTTGATGAAGTGAGGTGTACCAAGTATCATCTAATCACACCTCCTTCGTTCATATAAACCAGATTAATATGCCAAAGTCT